GTTAATTAATATTAATATTTTTGTACTCCCGGGGAGATCGGTTTTCAGGGTATGGTCTCTGCTTTTCTTCGAACTTGCGTTTATCCCCTCCCGCTTCGGCTGAACAAGCTCGGCCATAAGGTCTGGATAGCCGTGTTGGGGTCGTTCAAGAATGTCTATCTGTTCGGGGGTGGTGTTTTGTGCGGCCTTGGTTTGCTTTGGAGTTACAGTCTTGTGAGTAGGGCTCCCGTGATCCGGTCTCTGTGTCCCCAGGGTGTGAGTGGGGGGGGGGGGTCGTGAGTATGGGCCACTTATCTCTTCTTTCTGGTGTCTAATGTTGAATCCCCCGCTTCTACTCCCCTTCCTCTGTTGTCGTGGGCTGCAAGGGCTTAGGCCCCTGGGTTTTCAGTCCTGGGGTTATGGTGTCCGGGGAGGCCAACATTCTCGTCACCTACTTTGGCGCGATGGATTAAATGGTTGTTGACATTGGAGGGGGTGAATTCGACCTTTAGAGTGCATTTGGATAGAGGCGCGGTGGCCTCTGGCGCCTTCATGGCGGGAGCATCTCTCCAGGACATCATGCGTTCAGCTGACTGGTCCTGAGAAGATACCTTTCGCCAATTTTATTTTAGACCGGCGGATCATGCTTCTTTTGCTTTGCTGTCTGAGCGTTAAAACAGCAAATATGAAGCCTCCTGTCATGTTATAAAATTGTAGATTATACTAGCTTTAGTGTAACTATAATCTTAATTTTATTAATGACAGGAGGCGAAAATTTCCCTCCCAGTTTCTCCCACCCCTTGTACTTTGTTTGTTTTATTTGACCTCCTCTAGTTGATAGTCTGTTCTCCAGGGCTGTGATTGTTCATGTACTTTGTTTTGAAAAAGGAAGTAGTCATAGTAAAGAGAAACTTAAGCAAATAAGAAGCCTTCTGTCATTAAAAAAAAGCTAGTATAATCTACAATTAATCATGGACTGACTGACCTGCTACGTCACGCACAATCACTCACGCACACTCAACAAACACCACAACCACTTATGCCAGGGAACTGACCATTTTCCACAAATTTGCAGCAGAATTCCGAGTACAGGATAATTTCTCTATAGAGACCATGGGGGCTTTTGCCTCTTTCTGCCACTTACATCTTAAATTATCACACACCACCATCAAACTATATCTCACAGGGGTTCAACATATATCCTTAGATGTATCAATAAAACCATGGGCCCCCTACAACCAGCAGACTGTCTATTGATGGGCCCATGTATTGACAACTTAGCGACCTTTTAGACGCCTCCCCTTTTGAGTCCCAGACTAATTCGGTCATCAAAGTTGCTATATGTATTGCCTTCTACGGCTTTCTTAGACCTAGAGAATTCACTGTCATACGCCAGTCAGATGCCAACTTAAATCTGAAACAAAAGATATAAGTGGAGCTTTAAAGCACCTGAAGTACCTGGATAAATAACAAATACATTCAATGATATTCCTTCACAGTGATCTGTAAGTAATATACAACATACATATAGTGCAGATAGAATGAACTATATATGAATATGAGCAGAAAATGTATGATAATTCCAACTTACAAACGTAGAGCCAATCGGTCACTTGGCTCTAGTGTAGCGCTCTGCGATCTTTTAAGGGGAGATCAACCACCCACTAATAGCATATCCTCCTGGTTTTCTTCCTCCTTGTTTCTTGTCTGCACTCCAGTGCGGTCACAAGTCAGCCAACTTAAGTCTAAAGCATTCTCACCTGACTAAAGTCAATGACCATTACATCCTTTCGTTGCAAACATCCAAAACAAATCACACCAAGCAACCTACTACCATTCCCCTCTTCCCTACTGGGAACGCCTGGTGCCCAGTTAAAGTGCTAGATACGTTCCTAAGTTCTCACCACAGTTACTCTCCTAACTCTCCACTACTAATAGTCCACGATCACCCACTCACCACATCCAAGTTCATGTTTCACATCAGAACTCTGCTACTAAGGTTAGGCTACAACCCTTCTTCCTTCTCCGGTCATTCCTTCCGGAGCAGCTTCATCGGCATCTAGCTCTAACACGCCAGTCCACATCATTAAGAGACTGAGCCGATGGAAATCCTCCATTTACAATACCTATATCCCACGACCAGAGAAAGAACTAAGACAAGCATTCAAATGTTTAGCCTTATAAGAAGCAAAAAAGTGTTTTTTGCATCATCCTTTTTGCCTTCTTTTATTACAGGCCTACACGTTTGTTGGTTTCGGCGCACCTCAACCAGCACTGCATCAGCTAACATATTCCATAACCGATTAATTTCCGAGCACTAACCAAATTGCATTCTACAAAGAAGTAGGTAGAAGTATAGATCAGGATGTTGCAGTGGATGTGATCTGTCTGGATTTTGCCAAGGCATTTGATACGGTTCCTCACAATAGGTTAGTCTTCAAACTAAAAGAAATTGGTCTAGATGACTATTCTTGTTCTTGGGTAGGACATTGGCTTAAGGATAGAATACAACACGTTGTCATCAATGGTAAATTTTTAGGCTGGACAAAAGTGGTAAATGGTGTCCCCCAGGGTTTTGTTTTGGGATTGCTTATTTTTAACATATTTATAAATGATCTTGAAATAGGCATTGAAAGCCATGTATCAGTATTGGCAGATAACACAAAACTTTGAAAAGTAATAAAATGTGAGCAGGATATTGCTTTGCTGCAGAGGGCTTTGGATAGATTGGGGATATAATTTCTAATTAGTGGGGTAATAGCTGCTTGATCCAAGGACTGCTTTTGGGGTCAAGAATGAATTTTTTCCTAGTTTGTTGCAAAACTGGAAGCGCTTCAGACTCTCAGGACTTGGCCATAGTGGAGAGTTTGGAATCTGATTGCTTCTGTGGTAACTAGCTGAAATTATACAGGTAATAAACTGAGATTAGGAGCACTCCCTTTAAGAGAGTCCTCCTAATCTCAGCTCGTTACCTGTATAAAAGACACCTGGGATTCAGAAATCTTGCTGATTGATAGGGGATCAAATACTTATAAATTGAACTTTACTTTACTACCAACAGCTCCCCAGTCTAACTCTCGCAGTCTGCGTGCCCCGCGAGGAGTTGCCATGGTAACCTGGGGCAACGCTCTGTGGCCACGGGTCTAGCGAGATTTGACATGGGAGCTAAAAGGAGCTGCCGGCCCCTCCAGGACTGCCTGGCTTGTAATGGGCCCAGCGGTCCTGGTATGTATTATCGATATCTATATTGGCCGATACCAATATTGGCGAATATAGTCCGATATTGGTAAAACCGATAATCAGTCGATCCCTAGTATGGTGGAACATTATGATCTTGTTCTTATCCACAAATCATCAAGAGGAGGACTCCAGTCATCAATATATCCAAGAGTGGGGATTACACCACTTCACGCCATTTATTTGAATCCAAAAAGAGGCTCTATTATATGTGGGTGCAATTCTATTCACCTACCTAAAATTTGTAACGGTAAATATACATTATATTGGTGTCTATTTTGTTTAAGATTTCATACTTCCTTAATCAATATTTTTTAGACAAAGATATCACACATCCTTAGGCTGAGATTATACTACCCACACAGAAGTAGAACCAAATTTTAGCTTAGACACTGTAGGTAAATTGCATCCTAAATTTCCCACCAATATTTTACATTCTACACTATATTTTCTTTGACTGTCCCCTCATTTCATATTGAGGAATTCTCAATGCACTACTCACTTCTTTATGTGTGTACCAGTCAGTATGTGGCCCCAGATGCCACTTATGAGAAAGTCGCTGTATAATTAAGCATTTTATCAGAGATTTATTTTTAAAGTAACTGCAGAGCTCTTCTAACCAGTGTCTTGCTCATTCAGAAGTCAATTCCGCAAGTTGGTGTGTAACTTGATTACCATCTACTTTTCTATGCATGTATAGTTGCATAGATGAAAAATATCTTAATGACTTGGAGAGGATCTGCAAAGAGAAGTGGGATAAAATGCCACATGAGATGTGTGCAAACCTGGTGGGCAACTACAAGAAACGTCTGACCTCTGTGATTGCCAACAAGGGTTTTGCCACCAAGTACTGCCATAGTTACATAGCTGAAAAGAGGCTTGCGTCCATCGAGTTTAGCCTTCCTCACATATGTTTTTGCTCTTGCAAAAAACAAAACACAAAAAAACAGTCTGAAGTGCTTCCAATTTTTCAACAAATTAGGAAAAAATTCCTTCACCCCAAAACGGCAGTCCAATAACTGCTTGATCTAAGGAGATATTACCCCACTAATTAGAAATTATATCCCTGTATGTAATGTTTTTGCAAGTATTTATCCAATTGCTGTTTAAAAACCCCTTAAAGACCAAATTTCTGGAATAAAAGGGAATCATGACATGTCACACGTCATGTGTCCTTAAGGGATTAAAGAACACTATAGTCACCTCAACAACTTGAGCTTAATGGGGTTGTTGAACGGAGGTAAGTTTTAATGATAAAAAGCACTTGGATTGCTTTTTTTTGTTTTTTTAATGGCATACTAATAAAAGCAAGAAAGAAGGCTAGGGAACCTGTCTTTCTTGCTTTTTATAGTTTGACTATATTGCTCCTGGACTCTGATAAAACCACCTCTTCAGGCAGAGAATTCCATATCCTTATTACTCTTACTGTAAAAAAAATAAAATAAAGTTTCTTTGCCTTAGATGAAATCTTTCTTCCAGCCTAAATGTGTGACCTTGTGTCCCATTGTATAGCCCTGTTTATGAATAGATTTTCCCGATAATGGTTTGTTCTGGCCCCGAGTATATTTGTATAATGTTATCATATCCCTTCTGAGGCACCTTTTTTCAAAACTAAAAGATTGAAATTTTTTAACCTTTCTTCGTAACTAAAATGCTCCATTCCTTTTATAAAATGTTGTGAATATCTTTCAACATAATAAAGTTCAGCATCTGTCAGGTTTATTGAGGTAACATGACTTTACCAATTTATTAATTTTTTTAATTTCATAGATATGACAAATTGTTTTGTGAGTTTTTATATTTGATTTGGTGCATCCGATTTACAAATTGCCTTGCTGGTGAATGACTTCTCATATTAGAGATAACTGTGGGCAGTGTTAAAGAGGATTTTTAAAAGTCATTGGCTAGCTGGAAGGCTGTGTGAGCAGGCCAGCCCCCTTTTATTAATGGTCCTGCCCATTATGGGTATCACCAGTGAGTCAGATCACATAATTTGTGATGCCCCTTGTGCCTCCCCCTACCGCATCCTAATTCCACTCCTCCCATTGTTGGGAGGTATGACTCTTCATTATTTTCACATACAAAAAAAAAAAAGTTATTGCCTGTTTTATGCTGAAGATGTAGTAATATTTATTTACATTTAAAAAAAAAAAGGAGGAACGGATATTTTAACTCTGTAGTAGGTGCAGTGCATTTTTAACATCTGCTTTTACAAGTGAAAGTTTACACACACACAAAAAAAAAAAGTTTGCAGTGGAAAATTAAACTGCTTTTATATCTATCCTCAGAATTCCTTACTGATACATGATCATTACTACACATAAATAGCATACATTACTTTTTTTTTTTAAGCAATCCCAGTCACCATAAGTAGGTTATAGGCCATAAATTGAACACTTAAAACATTACTGGTCTGTCCCGTGTACACACCAACTAGCTCGCTAGAAGAACCATCAGATGGGGTATTGCAATAAGTATTACGGATATCCCAAACTCGAACAGAGTTATCCATTGATGCAGAGGCAATCAAGCTGCTATCTGGGCTGAATGAGAGACTGTTAATATTGTCTGAATGTCCTCGCAATTCCTTATAAAGTGTTCCGGAGGCCAAATCCCATAATTTTAGGCGCTGATCTTCACCAGCAGAAGCAAGGTACTTCCCATTAGGTGAAAAAGCAAGAGCCATTACGGGACCCCGATGTCCAGTGAAAAGTCTTACAGAACTAGCCTGCTGAGTGCTCCACAGCCGCACGGTTTTATCTGAGGATCCTGTTGCAAGGTAATTTGAATTGGGGTGAAACTTTATACAATCCACATCTGCTAGGTGCCCAGCATATATCCTAAGTGGATATGTCCTATCAAATGACCAAAGCCTTGCCGTTCGATCATGAGAACCACTGGCAAAAAACAGGTTGCAAGGGCTAACATCCAAGTCCCATACAGGGTATGCATGGCCTTGGTATAAAACGGTGTTGGTGAAGCTTGCAAGATCCCAATAACGAATGGATGCATCCTCAGAGCAGGACAATAGTCCACAGCTGTCAGAAAGGAAACGGGTGCGGTAAACAGGTCCACAATGCCCTCTAAGTATCTTCACTTCAGTCCTTGCTTGATCATGGTCAGCCTATACAAATAAAATTCAAAAATAAGTAAAAACATCAAACCAAAATGTTTAGCAACTCATTTTAACAAAATAAGTATGTAAAAGTAGTGATACAAGAACAGTCAAGTTGATTTAAAGAGTTGTTAAAATGTCTAGTATTTTATTCTATCCTACAAACGGCAAGGAACACAATAGAGCTTAAAAAGGAGAATAGAGCGAGAGAAAGAGAGAATGAGATATGAGATATATTATTTATGTGTGTATATATATCTATAAGTATGGGCTAGCACTCACGGTCTTGTAGTAAAAATAAAGTTCTTTATTCGGTTATTCTTAATCGTTGTTTCAGCCCACGTCCGGGGCTTTCCTCAGGATCAACAAAAACAACAATCTACTAGCATAATATGCAAGAATATATAACCCAAAAGAAAGACTCACCGCAGGTGATGCCAGTTAATTGATTGGCGTCCTCCCAGTGTGTGCGCGCGCATACCCGGAACTGCTGCATGTAGCGCGATTACGTTATCATGGCAACCTCCCCTATAATGGGTGTCATGGTAAGTGCCTTATACAAACGAAGTGTTAGGAGATGCGGTGTATAAAGATGGATATAAGAATCAAGTTAAGTGAACCAATATATGATGTAGAGCAGGTAATATATACATAGTGGCCACAAACAGTATGTGATAACATTATGGGCGACATGTTTATCCGATAAAAATTTAAGTGTGCTTGACGATCAAGTAAAGTGCCTGTGAATTAATCAATCAAGATACTATATTAAGTGCCATAGTGTGAAAGAAATTAAAAATAAAATAATAAGTAGTCACTGTGAAGTAAATACATACATGCCAGTAAGCTGTGGTTAGAAATAGTGGGTAATGTGTACACCCATAAATACACCCATATGGTGTATTTATACATCCCATATATACTCGAATTTAAGTCGACTCGAATATAAGTCGAGGCCCTTAATTTTACCCCCCAAAACTGTGAAAACGTATTGACTCGAGTATAAGACTAGGGTGGGAAATGCAGCAGCTACTGGTAAATTTCTAAATAAAATTAGATCCCCCAAAAAACTATATTAATTTAATATTTATTTACACTGTGTGTGTGTTTGTGTATGTGATGCAGAGCGTGTAACCTTGGTGGGGCATTTTATTATTTTTTTATTTTAATATTAATTTTTATTAGAATATTTACATTTTAATTTTTTTGTCCCCCCTCCCTGCTTGTTAGCTGGCCAGGGAGGGGGGCTATGAGCAAGCTGTTACCTTTACAGCAGTTATGTTCAGCTCCCTTCTCCTCCGTGCCGCTCAGCTCCAGTGTAAAACTTGCGGTTTGCGCGCCGCGTGGAGCGGACGCTACGGCTCTCGCGAGATTTACACTGGGAGCTGAACGGCACGGAGGAGAAGGGAGCTGAACGGAGATGCTGTAAAGGTAAGTAACGGCTTGCTCCCAGCCCCCAACAGGCCCGCCGGGCTTGTAATGAGCCCGGCGGTCTTGGTCTGTTTTATGGCAATGTAAGTTGCCATAATACAGACACTGACTCTAGTATAAGACGAGTGGGGGGTTTTCAGCACAAAAGAAGTGCAGAAAAACTCGTCTTATACTCGAGTATATACGGTAATCCACATATTACATTATATAAATAATGGAAGAACAACATAATTGCAATTACCGGGACATTAATTTTCATTATTTTTAATTTTTTTTCCCCATTATGTGATAATCCTTTTTTGACTAAGTGTTGATCGAGTGTATTTCCATTTTTACGATTATGGAAGAGGTTTTCTAATTAACTGCAATGATATTGTTTTTCCATTATTTATATAATGTATTGTGTATTATGTATAAATACACCATATGGGGTTAGTACACATTACCCACTATTTCTAACCACAGCTCACTGGCATGTGTGTATTTACTTCACAGTGACTACTTATTTTATTTTTAATTTCTTTCACACTATGGCACTTTATTGATATTGGCTATTACATAGTATCTTGATTAATTAATTCACAGGCACTTTACTTAATCGTCAAGCACACTTAAATTTTTATCGCATAAACATGCCGCCCATAATGTTATCACATACTGTTTGTGGCTATTATGTATATATTACCTGCTCTACATCATATATTAGTTAACTTAATTCTTATATTCTATCGTTATGCACCGCATCTCCTAACACTTTGTTTGTATAAGGCACCCATTATAGGAGAGGTTGCCGTGATAACGTAATCGCGCTACGTGCATGCGCACACACACACTGGGAGGACGCCGATCAATTAACTGGCATCACCTGCGGTGAGTCTCTTTCTTTTGGGCTATATATTCTTGCATATTATGCTAGTAGATTGTTTGTTGATCCTGAGGAAAGCCCCGGACGTGGGCTGAAACAACGATTTTAAGAATAACCGAATAAAGAACTTTTATTTTACTACAAGACCGTGAGTGCTAGACCATACTTATATTATGGTTGTGGCTATTTATTGCACAGTGCTGCAGGGTATATCTGAGTGCAAGGACTGGAGTGTGTGTGTATGTATGTATGTATGTATATAAATAAAACACCAACATTTTGGAGATATGCCAATGTTTACATAGAAATTCGAAACACTCCTGTAGATGGCGCTTCCGCACCTACAGAGTTGTTTGACGTCCAACAATCTCACAAACGTTGAATGCCCTCTGATGCTTCAATACCTCTCCATGAGAAAGCGTTTGATTCATGGAGCAGGGCAAGCACTGGATTGGACGAGAAGCTGGATGAAGTCAGCATACTTGCTGACCAAAAAAAAAAAAAAAAAAAAAAAAGGAGGCAAAGCAGGTGGTTACAACAATTGTGCCTCAGGGCTTGATACACGCTAAGTAAAGGGTTATTAGCATTAACCTTTCTAAGAAAAAGGAGACAGGAATTATTGCTGGTTTGTCTAATTTGCCTTCCTTTTCGTGGAATTGCCCGTTCGTATCCCCCTATTCGTCTTTTTGTCTATCTACCGAATGAACTTACCAAACGGACAGCCACCCAGAAAAGGAGTGTGCTGCTGGTTAACCTCTTGATCCCAATTAGAACGTTAACCGCAGACACCTCTTAATTACAACCGAATGCAGGGTGGTCGTCGTTCGTATGTCGACCATGAGGCGGCGGCCATTTTAAACCTTGCGAAAGACCAGCGGTGTTCAGCGCAGATTCTATGGAACTAAAAACGGACACTCTTTCTGCCGAACCCGCAGACTGCCCTTCTCAGTCGACAAGGCATGTGAACACCGGCTGTTCGGGAGTTTGGATTATACGAATGGACTTAACCCCGATAGCCATCCCATGGAGTCAATCGCATACCGAAAGACTGTAATAGACTTTGACTCCATGGCGATTGAACTGGACGTATGGGATCTGAGCGCTATTCGCTAAGAATATGCACTCAGATCCAGGCTATAGGGGGTACGTTGCACGAATGTAACATGTTCGGTAGTTGTGTAATTATTTATTTTCATGTGTTTTTGTGTCTTACACAAAATGGCGATTTGCCTCTGTCCTGGAGATAATTGAATTACTTCTCAATTATATCCAGGGCAGAGGGGAGGAAACCGGGATGCATTATGAGAATATTTTGTGCCTGTATGTCTGAAAGTGCCATATGTCTGTCTGTCATTACAAGTCTCACATTTGTCCACCAAGTGTCTCGTTATTGGGGGGGATTTACTACCGACGGATAGAGACTGATTACTGGAACCGTAAGCCGCTTGGAGGATATGTTTGTTCGGTGGTTAGAGACGATTCGTGGATTATTGTTCGGGAGTTTGGAGCACTCTTACGGATCCCATTCGGGAGATTACCGCTTTCCCCTGGTTGTGGTTCCTACGCTGAATTCTATACGAACGGAGATGGCAAGATTGTGAAGGGGAAAGCTCAACTAAACGGCGGTTTCACTCCTAGGTCTCCGGGGTGTCTTAACACAGAGAACGGAGGGTTAATCCAGCCTCCAGTGGCTGCCTCCCTGACAACCACTAGAGGCCGCTTCCATGATACTCACTGTGAAAATCACGGTGAGAAGACGCTGGACGTCCATAGAAAAAGCATTGAGTAAGACTTTCCTATGGGCAGTTTGAATGCGCGCGCGGCTCTTGCGGCGCGGACGTCGGCAGGAGGAGGAGAGGTCACCAGTGCCGAGGGAGCCCGGCGCTGGAGAAAGCTAAGTGGCTGAAGGGGGGCTATCAGGGTGGGGGGTACCTAATGACCCTATAGTGCCAGGAAAACAAGTTTGTTTTGAACTCTAGCATCTCCTGAGGCTGCTAGAGTTCACTCTAACCACTGGGACCACCAGGGATTCTCCATCAGATCACGATGAAGTGCAGTAAATGTCCCCCCTCCCAGGCAAAGGTAAGCAGGGAGGGGGGATATAAAAAGTATTTTTAAAATTACAAATGTTTAATATAATTTATGAATTTGCCCTTCCACCACACACACACACACACACCGCCCCACACACACACCCCTCCCCCAAAAACATTCGAGTCACAAGAAATGCAAAAGAAATTTCTTCAGAACTACCTTACCTCCTCCTCTAGAAAGTCACATGCTAGCCGTATACGAGACACATCCACTTTGTGTTCTTCGGCTTTTAGCTTCTTTGTTTGGAGACTCCACAATTTCACACAAGAGTTATCAAACCCACAAGACAGAAGTTTACTGTCAGGAGAAATTTCTGCTGTATTCAAGAGTTGCTCTGTGTTATAGAAAGCATAGAAACAAATGGTGGTGAGAGAGGGTGGACCATCTTTCACTCGTTTGATACAATCCTGTAGCTGTTCAAGAGCTGCTTCGTTCTGCAAAATAGGAGCTGGCACATCTGGTGGGTCAAGACTGTTCTCGCCTCGTGATAAAGACCCACAACTTGCATATATCTGGTATTCCGTCCTTTTGATTGGTTGTACATCAAGTTGGATGTGCTGTGTGAGAACTTTGCACAAAGCAGTGTTGTTTTCACTCTGGAGGTAGCGGAGAAGAAAATTGTAGCTTTCCTCTTCAAGGTGCACAACATACTTATTATCCAGCAGCATTCTCAGTTTAGAGTTAGAGTGTATGTCCTGTATTGTCATGGTGGTCTGAAGATTCTCAATAATGTCCCTCTGGCCTGGGTTTTGCAAGAACATGCCATGGAAGCGACTGTAAAAGCTGTCCACTGCACTTTTCAGGCTGTTCCGTATCATCTCCAAGTGAAGGTAGAGAAACAAAGGGTAGAGTAGCTTTGTAACTTCACGGCTACTGGGCGAGTCAACATCTACAGTTTTTGTGTTGGGGAAATAAATAAAAAAAATCAGTCATGCACGACAATGGAAACCTCTGACACATTATAGGCAAGTAACATTTTTCCATCATAAAAATTAATCCGATAGTAATTTTTGGATATCAGCAATCTAGTACTAGGTCACAACTACGTTTCAAGGAACACTTCAAGCATCATAATCACTACAGTGATATCCACCTCTCAGACCAGGGTATTTAGAGGTTCAAAAAAAAACAAAAAACAAAGCTAAACCCAAAAATACATTTGGTGACCCCCTTCCTAAAGCTAAAATGTTGGGTGTATAATACTAAGTTCTATGTTTTGTTACTCTATTCATTCCACATTGCCCTCAGGCCACACTGTGTACATTGATTTCAGTTTGCCTCCTTTTATTATGCCCACATGATGTCACAAACTGTATTTACTTCAAGTTGCATCCCTTTTATTTATGCCCACATGGCTACATATTTCAGTTTGACACCATTTTACTATGTCCTCATCATATCACATTCCCACATGCCACACTGCCTACAATTATTTCAGTTTACCTCTATTTTAGCATATCAACATGCCACAATGCCTACAATTAAGTTTGCACCATTTGTATTATGCCCACATGCCACATTACCAAAATTATTTCCGTTTTACCTTTTATTAAGCCACATTGCCTTGTGACATTTGTAATGCTG